AATGAAATGATGGCATTTGCCAGTAAATGGATGAAACTAGAGACTATCATGCTAAGTGAAATAAGTCAGTCCCAAATACTAAAAGCAGAATGTTCTCTCTGAGATGCAGATGCTAACATACAATAGGGGGGAGGGAAGAATAGAAGTTCATTACATTAGACAAAGGGGGATGGGGGGATGGGAGCAGGAAAGACAGTGGAATGAATCAGACATCACTTTCCTGAGTTCATATATGAACACCGACCCGTGAAACTCCACATCGCGTACAACCACAAGAACGGGATCCTAATTAAAATAAGTTATACTCCACGTATGTATGATATGTCAAAATATACTCTACTGTCGTACATACCTAAAAAGGACAGATAAAAATCAAATTTACAAAAAAAGATCAAATCAAATCAAATTTATTTTAAAAAGTTGCAGAATGAAGAAAAGATAGGAAGGCAAGCACGCAGGATACACAAGTGGAAACCCTGTGCAGCGACCTGGAAGAGGAGGCTTGGGGTGGACTGGTGGCAGTGGGGGGGGGGAGGGAAGAGGAGATGGCCTGAGTTGGGAGTGGGTTCAGAAGGAGTCAATGGTGGCTGGGTTTGGGACCAGGGTGAAGGAGGTTTCCAGATTCAGCAATGAGTGGACAGCCCATTCCCCATCTAACAGTAAATTGAATATTTTACAAATGTCAATCAAATCACCTCGCTCTGCTGCTTAAAACTTTTCTCTAACTCCCTAAGTTAAAAAAAAACACAAAAGAATCCACACTTCCTCCTCTGCTCTTTAGGTTCTGGCCTCCGCCTGTCCCTGGCCTAAGCTCAGGAAGCTTCTCCTTCGGTTCACCCTGGTAGGTCATGGCTCAGCTCCTGACCACACCAGGCTCCTCCCCCTGGTGCCCCCACAGGCGGCCCCCTCTGCCTAGAGGGCTTTTTCCAGTTGGGACCACGTGACTGGCTCCTTCTCGTCATTCAGGTCTCAGGGCCAGCACTGTACAGGACCAAGCAGGGGCCTGAGGCAAAAGGAAAAACATGTCCCCCACGTGTCCCCCACGTGCACTTGCGTGTTGGTTTGATGTGGTTGATATTTTTCCAGGACATTCAAGTAGATGAAAAGGTACTGAAAATTGAAAAGTATTTTTAAAACTTCCATAATTATTTTAGGTTCAGATACTTTATCTATATTAAATATTTAAATATTTTATCTATACCCAAACCAGAATTTGTTGTTCTCTTACTTTCCTGGCTTCAAAAGAAACAAACGTCTTCAATAATATTTTCATTATCATCTTGTTTGCTTCTCTCATTTTCAATTATATGAATATAATTATATATAATATATAACATCTCCTGTCTAAGTGATGATCTTAAAATATTTTTAGTTAGCTTCACCTTACCTTTTTTACTTAAACTTTTAATGTCTGGGGCCTTGATTTTTTTTTTTTTTAACTATGGCATTGAAACTGTACTCAGTTACTGAGATTTTGGTACTTCCTTGAATCCTGCACTCACGAGCTTCAGGTCATTGCGTCCCTGCTCAACTTGAAGGCCACGTCCTCCAAGAGATCGTCTCTGACCCTCGGCCCAAAGTCGGCTTCCAGCTGGGGGTGTGGCTCAGTGTACCCCACTTGCCTAGCCTGTGTGAAGCCCTGGGTTCAATCTTCAGAACTGTTAAAACAACAACAGAAGTCGCCTCCCTACACACCTGAGTGAGTCTTAGTGGCACTGCACTCTAAGGATCTTAGCTTTTAAATGGGTCTTCATTTCCGCCTCACACCCCAACAGAAACCCCAAGCTGTGCCCATCTGTCTCCTTGCAGTGACCATAGCACCTAAGACAGCAGCTGGCACACGTGTGAGGATGAGCAGTTGACTGAGAGATGGTTCTCGAACCCACGGGCTTCACCGAACGGGTGGGATGAAGACAAGTAGGAACAGGAAGAGGAGGTCACTGAGAGGTCACTGAGCCCAGTGAGAGAAGCAGCAGAGGGCGGGAGGGTGGTTTCTGTGGAAAGCAAGAGGCTGTCCCCAGAGGGAGGACGGAGGCTGTCCCCAGAGAGAGGACGTGACCAGCGT